CAAGCACAAGGACCCAAGTTCAATCCCTGGTACCAAAAAAGATACTGAACAGAAATCTAACACATGAATACCACATAACGTCTCTTATAATAGTTATTTCTGCCTAATAAAAATTTTGCTTTCCATTTCTATGACCTAAAGAGTTTCTTTTACTATTTATTTACTTATTTGTTTATTTTGGTGTTTTTTTGTTTGCTTGTTTGTTTTTGGTACTGGGGATCAAGTTCGGGTCCTTGCACTTGCAAGGCAGGCTGTGGAACCACTGAACTAAATCCCCTGCCCTTATTTTGGGTTGTTGAGACAGGATCTCACTGTGTAGTCCAGGCTGGTCTCTCAGCCTCCCAAGTACTGAGATTATAGTGTATGCCACCACACCCAGTACCTTTAATTGTTGTTATCCTTTATTTTATACAAATGTGAATTTCTCATTAAGAGATTGCTTTTTTTTGGTACTGGGAATCGAACTCAGGTCCTTGTGCTTGCAAGGCAGGCGGCCGAACCACTGAGCTAAATCCCTGGCCCTGCTTTTTCTTTTTTTATAAAGTTTTATTTTATCTCATTCTTCCTAAGCCCCCTCCCTCCGTATATACAAAAGCTTTGTTTTCATTTTTTTCCTATTTTTACTTTTCTTGTTCCTTCTTTTTTTTTTTTTTTTTTTTTTTTTTTTGGTACCAGGGATTGAACTTGGGTCTTTGGCGCTTGCAAGGCAGGCCACTGAACCACTGAGCTAAATCCCCTGCCCTTGTTCCTTCTTTTTTTCCTTCCTCCTCCCTTATTCCCTTTCCCATTTGAACACTTGCTTCCCATTTCGCAACATCCATTATACATTTCAGTCCTTATTTCCACTTTTGGTTTCTTAATGTCTGAGAAACAGTGAAGTATGTAAACATGTGTGTCTGATTTACTTCACTTTGGAGCACGGTCTCAAGGTCCATTCATTTAGCCATAAATATCTGAAGTGCATCCTTCTTTATGGCAAAGTAGTACTCCATTGTAGAAAAAAAACACATCTTTATCAACTCATGAGTTGATGGGCATTTGGGGACTGTTTCCAAGATTTAGCTATTACAAACTGCTGCTATCAACGTGGGTGTACATATATCACTGTGTCACGATGCTTTTATTTTCATTCATTCATTCATTCATTCATTCATTCATATTTATTTATTTTTGGTACCAGGGATTGAACTCGGGTCCTTGCCCTTGCAAGGCAGGCCACCGAACCACTGAGCTAAATCCCTGGCCCTGATGCTTTTAATTATTTCCAGAAGATACCAAGACTAGGTATAGCTAGGTCAAGTGAAACCTCTAGTTTTAGTGTTTTTTTTAATTTTTTTTGAGAAATCTGCACACAGACTGATTTTTCTAATTCAATTTGGATCTTACAATTGGGAATTTAACCTGTTTTGAGTATAATTCCCCTCTGTCCCTGTCTATATCTTTTGTGCAAATGGTAACACTTCCTTAATGTTTTTCTTTTGCTATTTTTTTCTTGGTTTTTAACTTTTTTTCAATTCTAGAAACTTGGAATGTATATTCTATTTTTGCCCACATCTGAATGACACATTGACTTACATGACCTACTAGTAGACGCAGTAATAATTGGTTTTATTAATTCAGTACTTCAAATATATTCACCTTTCTCAATCGGTGTTTTGGAAATTTTCTCTTTACATTATCAGTAATAACATGAACTTGCTAATGGGGGGAACTTTTTTTTTTTTTTGGAGACAGAATCTTGCTGTGTAGCCCAACCTGGCATTGAACTCATGGCATTCCTCCTGCCTCATCCTCCTAAATTCTGTTGTTCCAGGCTTATGCCACAAGTGCCCAGCTCCCCTCCCCCTGGGAACTATAACATTTTCCAGTTTTGTCACACTGTCTTTATTGTACTTCTTCTGCACCCCCGTTGCACAGAGTTCGCGGTTGCCTCACCCAACTTCAGGCCCTGCTTGCTTTCTTTCTCTTTAGACTTGGCTGCAAGGCAGTATATATGAGTATAGAGCAAGTATGTAAGAGCACATGAGCCAGGGATGAGTAGTGTTTATGACTGGTTTTTAATTTTTTTTTTCCTCATGGCAATCCTCCTGCCTCAGCTTTCCAAGTGCTGGGATTACAGGTGTGTGCCACCATGCCTAGTAGTGACTGATTTTTCTTTTTGTTTTCTTTTTTGGGGAGGGTATTGGGGATTAAACTCAGGACCTTGTGCTTGTGAGGCAGGCAGGCAGCAGAACCAGTGAGCTAAATCCCTAGCCCTGACTTTTTTTTGTTTTTGTGAGACAGGGTCTTACTATGTAGTTGAGACTGACCTGGAACTCACTATGTAGTCCAGCCTGGGCTCCAACTAACAGTGATCCTCCTGCCTCAGTTTCCCGAGTGCTGGGGTTACAGGCATGTGCCGTGACGTCCAGCCACCTGATTTTTTTTAAGATGCCACAATCTGCTCATCTCCTCTAGATATTTTGGATTGACAGTTTGCTCATATTACAGATGTGAAGAAATTGAGTATCTGCTGTTTTCTAGGCTTGAGTTT